CCACTGAAGTTCAAGTGATCGCCTTCGGCCGCGAGCCTACCAAAGTTCGAATCTCGAGACAAAGCACTTAATAGCGCGAGCAGCGTCAATGCGTGATCGCTGGGTTTCGATATTAGAAGTCCTTGAATCGCGCGCGCACTGCTTCTCAAGATCCTACCGACTGCGCCAATTACGGAGGTCGCAGCCTAAGGTCTTAAAAAAAACCGAAACTGAATCTAAAGTTTATTAAAATTAAAAAAGATTACAATGAAACTTAAACTTAATTATTGCTACTGGTCTGTCTTCCGACGATGTGAGTTCAGAAGTGCGGGCCCCGTGGCTGGCTTCGAGGCTCCATGAGGTAAAGGTGCTGAATCGGCGTCCCCGNGGAAAATTTTGACGGGTTCGTACAAGGAAGCAACACAAGGGTACAATAATTCGAATGTACTTACAGATTTTTCATTATCTTCGGTCCACTGAAGTTCAAGTGATCGCCTTCGGCCGCGAGCCTACCAAAGTTCGAATCTCGAGACAAAGCACTTAATAGCGCGAGCAGCGTCAATGCGTGATCGCTGGGTTTCGATATTAGAGGTCCTTGAATCGCGCGCGCACTGCTTCTCAAGATCCTACCGACTGCGCCAATTACGGAGGTCGCAGCCTAAGGTCTTAAAAAAAACCGAAACTGAATCTAAAGTTTATTAAAATTAAAAAGGATTACAATTAAACTTAAACTTAATTATTGCTACTGGTCTGTCTTCCGACGATGTGAGTTCAGAAGTGCGGGCCCCGTGGCTGGCTTCGAGGCTCCATGAGGTAAAGGTGCTGAATCGGCGTCCCCGCACTCATGTGCGTCAATGCGCCATTTACGTCAATGCACGGTTTCTAGGGTGTTGAAATGCTGTCTCAGGGTTCACGACAGTCACGTACGCCAATTTATGTATGTGGTAAAATTCCTATTGCATATCGGAATATTACATAGAGTTAGGGTATATAACATATTAGTGCTTTTTTATTATTGTTATTGTTTAGATTGTAAATTGTAAATTGATTAGATTGTATTCTTCTACCCACTCATTTAAAGCTTTCCTTCGTTACGAACGGTTAGCTGGTAGAAAACTCAATTGTTGAGTTAAGCTCGCCATTTTTTATATCTTATCGCAATTACTGTAATATTAACTGTGTGTACAATTAAGAATAAAGGATTTAAACGGCGCCCCTACTACCGTCCGTAAAAAGAATTAATTTCAGCAGCACGAATGAATTTACTTATTACTTTCGTTTCGCAATCCAATCGTCACGTTCTCGAAGCTCGAAACTTATACTCATAATCGAGAGCACGAAAATTGTTTTGTTATACGCTAACGTTAATCTTGAAGACTGGCTATCGAGTATTACCATTGTAATGACCCGTTTTCGTATTGAGGACTCGATACATTTAGATTACGATACGAATTCGATAGATTTTCGCGCTTGACGTACTGTTGTTGGAGTATCTCGATAGGCCGCGCGGGCAGGTACCTACCGCGTCTCCCGTTTCCTCCGCGAAGCCGACTCCGAATAATGAAAATAAAAACTACTTTCTTTCTTAGTAAGGTTTTCGTGTACGTGTTTCTTTTTTATTGCTTATATGGGTGGACGAGCTCACAGCCCACCTGTTTTTAAGTGGTTACTGGAGCCCATAGACATCCACAACGTAAATGCGCCACCCACATTGAGATATAAGTTCTAAGGTCTCAAGTATAGTTACAACGGCTGCCCCACCGTTCAAACCGAAACGCATTACTGCTTCACGGCAGAAACAGGCAGGGTAGTGGTACCTACCCGTATAGACTCACAAGAGGTCCTACCACCAGTAAAACAAACGGAGCCAAATATAGATTGACACAATTGAAATTTATTGAAAGAGCCTTTTTTTAATATATATTTATATAGCCTTGTCTTTCAAAAATATTTACTCGTTTCTTACAAGGCAAGTTAATAATTAATATTCCGTGCCTGAACTAAACATTTCGACGCTTGCGACGAAGGGCTCGACGAGTAAATTAACCCTCAGACACAGCCCACTGAGTTTCTCGCCGGATCTTCTCAGTGGGTCGCGTTTCCGATCCGGTGGTAGATTCTGCGAAGCACGGCTCTTGCTAGGGTTCGTGTTAGCAACGTCGTCAGGTTTAAGCCCCGTGAGCTCACCTACTAGTTAAGGTTACGCTGGAATAGCCTCTCAAGGTTACAAGATTAGGTAGGAAAAAAAAAAGAAAGAAAAAAACACGCAGTCAGTCAGTAATCGGAACTACTCGAAGCGAAACAGCGAACGGATCACCTGAGGCGAAGCGGAACAAGCAAATTGAGAGTTTTAAAGTGTTTTAAAGTGTTTAAGTGTTCTAAGTGTTGAATACAGTTTTAAGTTGTACTTTGGTGAAATTTTATTTATCCCGAACCCCAGCGCGTAACAATACGAATTTCCTTCAAGACTGTACCACATAAATCATTAAATTAAATCGTAGCCCTCAAATGCAGGCTAGTTACAAACAGGCCACACCGAAAAGGCAATACCCGTCAAAATACGCTTACCAAGCCATACCCCGACCGAATATAAGTTTGTTCCGTTCGGTCACACTTGACGTCGGCAGAAATAAATTAATTCCAGTACCTACCGACGAAGGCCGCGACCGCGTAAATCACAATAGAAGGACCGCTCCAATAAAGATTTGCGACTCTAAGGCTGTGTACACGAGCCCTTATAATCCCTATTTTATTGATAAGCACCCTTATTACGAACGAATTTACGGTATCAATATGTTACCGGGCTTGAAGGGGTTTTAGTCAGAGAATTCTTGAACAAAATTGTGATCTACAAGGGCCATAGAAAATTTTATACGGGCTTCATTTCTTCATTCTCGAATTAGGCTCTTTCTGTTTTAAGCGCATATCAATATTTGACTAGAACTTCAAAGTGAAAAATTGAACAAAGTTCAACTTTTTTGATATTCTTTATGTGGTGGGAATATAAAAGCGTAGTCATAGCGAACAATATGAATAATTTGTTTAGAATAAATATCCTTGTTTATAATCCTCGATAATCTAAACATCTTTGTTGGGCAAACATTATTCACTTCCTTGGATCAGAGAATGCCCAACGATGGCCCTTTGAAAACTGTCAATAATTCCATTCTTACAGATCGTTTAGAGCTTTTAGATCTAAGGAGGGATTACGCTTCTTTTGTTTATACCGGAGGTTTTTATAGGAAGCGCTTTGATAAATTATTCATCATAGCAGATTTGATCAACGACTGATTTGATGAACCGTTGCGACCACGCACCATACGTTTCCAAATATTATTTCTTGACACACTATCGGGTTTCGGAGTGAAATCCTTTGTACGGTGTCAAAAAGTCCTTCTTCAAACAAGGTTTGAGGAGATTTCTCAGCAAAAGGCAACGGCTTGGCTGTGCCCCTGACATTCCTGATACCAATGAGAGACGGGTTTATTCAGGTGGGCCGTATGGTCTTTCAATTGCAACGCCAATAAATACAGAAGAATTTGAAGGCATATTTGTAGAATTGTAGTGGAGTGGTCTGATGAATTGTTCGAGATGATACCGTCATCTCGTTTTTACCATCGCACCGCCCGCCACCGGAGTAGAGTTCATCCATACTACCTGGAGCCACTGCGGTCATCCACACTGCGTTTCCAGAGGTCTTTTTTGCCACGTACCATCCGGCTATGGAATGAGCCCCCCTCCACGGTGTTTCCCGAGCGCTATGACATGTCCTTCTTCAAACGAGGCTTGTGGAGAGTGTTAAGCGGTAGGCAGCGGCTTGGCTCTGCCCCTGACATTGCTGAAGTCCATGGGCGACGGTAACCACTCACCATCAGGTGGGCCGTATGCTCGTCTGTCTACTAGGGAAATAAAAAAATGGAAATTTTAATCATAGTTCTTTGTTCGAAAGTCATAACACAAAAATCGTTCCGAAAAAAACCTACCTACAAAAGGCATTGATTTATTGAAGGGTGTTAGCGTTCTAAAACACGAATCGAGGGATATTTATTATGTAAGGCTACGTACTGACTATTTCTATCGCTCTGACTAAGTAGATGACGGTAGACTAGATAGGCAATTAGGTAGATAGCAGACAGGTCATCAGCTTTATCTGTGTTCTAATAAAATACCCGTTTTAATTCCCTGTTGCAACAACAACGAATACCGACGTCGATTGAGCCTGGTGCCTCATTAGCTTCGAATCGTATAAAGTCGTACAGTGCACTTCGATTATTGCCGTTGCGGCATACGACGTCGCCGCAGCCCTTTCGCTACTATGGGTAACTATAGTCAAGCGCCACAAAACGCCGCCTGGACACGATGGTTGACTATAGTCACCGGCTGAAAAACATCGCCTATGCACAGTTGGTGATGTACGCCCTTTTAGCATGAAGCTCTGTTTCCTGAGAGATATTTTGCAGCGAAGGTTATCAAAAGGTCGCCTAGTAGGCGCACACGTCAGTGGCAATCGCAAGATCAGACCATGCTGCTTCGTGAGCGTTGGCAACGTCGCCAAATATGACTTATTGAAGTTCGCCAGATCCACTGGTTGCTGGCAAAACTGGACCGATCATTATGGTAAGACTTAAGGCCAGCCACATATATCGAGCCATTGATCTCAGTGGGCTGTACGGTAGACAAGCTTATGGCACACACGATGCTTAAGGAAGACCATGGGCATCAGCATAACGAATGCTCTCACAAAACTGAACTCATCAAGCCGAAGTGACAATTTTATTGCACAACATCACCGCAATAGTAGGCAGAAAGGTGCATCCTCACAATCTACCCAGCACCATAAATCCAAATGGAAACTTCACTCTGTCGTTCAATCATTCTTTGATGAACGCACTTTTGTATGCCAAGCTTTCAAGCATAATCATTAATAAAAAGACTCGTTAATTTCCAAGATTTTTATTGTCAAACAAAAACAAGCTTTGTGAATTTCGGATAAGTGCAGTACATTGGATCTCAATAAATCTTCATTCGCACAAAGCTTCGTGCATTAATATAGCTCTCCTCACGTAGCGAAAATGATAGAAACTAAGCACTATTATGAACGAGAAGAAATATAGTACTGAAACAAAAAAAACAAAAATAGTTACTGAATTTTGGTAGACACGTTCATGGAATGCGTTTCTGAGTTAACCTTAGTGAGTGGTGTTACGTTGAGCTTTCAAGAGCACATTGTTTTTTGAACCGATCCCACCCGCTTTTGCGAATGTCCTCAGATCCATCCTGTTAGCCACCGTATCCATACACGAAACTATTTTCCCCAAAAAAGAAGTACACAATGAGTGTTCACGTACGCCTTTCGCGATGAAGGATAACAAAAAACCCGCATAATTACTTGTGTATTTCATTGTGGTAAAACCCGCATGGGTAGGAACCAGCGTGAGAGGTTGCGAGGGGCGTTGATTGGTGGGTAGGGTCTTAAGAACATCCTTAGGCTGCAGTCCGTTCCCAACATCTGCAGGCTATCAAATCCTATATACCCCACGCGCCTTTTAGGCCTGGACACCTTTTATGAGGATAGGCATCTTGTCAGAAAAAAAGATAAAGAAATTCGGTATCATCATCCTGTAAATTCCACCGATTTAATTGTGACCATAACACCACATCACAAGGTATGAGGCAGCATTGACGTTGTTGTCTTTGGGGTCTAATAGCCATTGAATATGAGGTGAGCCGTGAGGATATTCACAAATCCATACAATTTCAAAATGATATTGGAATTTTTCGTTTTTAATTAAGTAGTGTGCTCACATATAAATCGAAATTCGATCACATTCCCTGGTATCTCAAGAGGATTCGACGTTATTAGTTACATTTTCTCTTTTTCTTTTGTTATTGAAACAAATTTGCTGATTGTTACTAAATAAAGAAGCAATACGGATGACAAACAGACCGAGCTACGGATCTATTTGACTATACCAATGTAATAGAGATAATATTGTGTCAGAAATGAGCAACAACAATTAGCTACAAAAATTATCCATAACAATTTTTTTATTATTGTATAGATGGGTGGACGAGCTTACAGCCCAACTGGTGCTAGTTAGTGGTTACCGGAGCCCATAGACATTTAAAACGTAAATGCCACCACCCACCTTGAGATATGAGTTCTAAGGTCATTTATTTGTAATTTTTGTTTTATATTAGTTAGTTTAGTACAACGGTTCCCAAATTTATTTTGTCTATTACCCACTTTAAGAATTAATTCTTTTTTAGCGCCCCCATTTTTTCATCTACTTAAAAACCACTGTAGCGAGAGCTGAGTCGGTGTCTTAGAGTCCTCCTAGATGAAATTACAAATCACCTCCCAAGCCACACACACACACACACACACGCACCACCCCCATTTTTCTGGGTCTCCCCTTTAGGCCTGCAGCACCCACAAGGGGGCGTTATCGCCCACTTTGGGAAAGGCTGGACTTTAGTAGTAAGCATTTTTATTTTAGTTTTTTTTAACTCTGTTATTTTTCTGAATCCGTCTCTACTACGTGCATTAACTAATCATGTTCGCGTGTATGTTAATGTAATGAGACTTCACTGTGTGTAGTGTAGGCATGTTACAACTATGCGAGATGTTTATTCGGTTTTAAGCTACATATTTTGGCATCGACCTTATTTATTACACATTTGTGAAGACATGCTTTAAGTCGTATTTTTAATGCAATACTCAAACTCTTTTGTCCGTAGATCTTGTAGGTTGTATGATGCTAAGTTCTCTAATGCTGACATCTTTTGCTTTTCACTTGTAGCATATATAGAAAAGCTATTTTAAAATATTTATATGGTGATTTAGTCCGATGAGTGTTTTAGTTTTATAGTGTATGTTGATACATAACATACATACATATGACATAATAATATGTGCGTATTGTGTTGCTTTTGTTTCTTTGCAACTTAAATTTCTAAATTTCTCTTCGCTGTTCACTTTCGACTTCAATGTAATTTTGATGGTGGAAACATGTGGTTATTGTTTTAGCTATTTTTTTAAATATTATATTTTTGTATTGTACTGTTGGTTTCCCAAATAAATCTATATATATAAAATGAATCGCTTTTTTTTTTATTGCTTAGATGAGTGGACGAGCTCACAGCCCACCTGGTGTTCAGTGGTTACTGAAGCCCATAGACATCCATAACGTTTTTTTTTTTTTTTTTTTTTTTTTTTAAAAAGCTAGCGATCGCCACGTGCAGAGACCCTCGGGGATTCCGTAAGATGGTAA